GCTCGCTGCTTCTGTGCCCTCCCGACGGCCTCGCTTCTCCAGTGAAAGAGCTCGCTCCGAAAGGGGGTCCCGCAGACAAGAATTCATCTCGCAAAGGGCGGTGCTTTTACGTGACATCTTTTTGAACGCCAGAATGGCTCATGGCTTACTTCCTTCAGTCTTCCTCGTCCCGCCGGAGGCAGTCACAAAAAACAATCTCGGCTACACGGTCAACACTATAGGTAGGCAAGAAAAAAGTAGAGTATGTAGACAAGCCTCGCCGAGAATCGAACTCCTCACGCTACAAGTAAGCCATACTAACAGCAGTATGGATTTTTCAGAGGTTATATCGCCTTCACCATCATTGAGGACACCGCGGCTATTCTACATTTCGACCTGCTCCCTGCTCTATTCCCTCCATTCGCGCGAGATGAGTAGTCTGTCTGCAAAAGCTTGTTGCGTTGGAAGGACGTCCAAGCCCACGCAAAATTGTCTACTACTACTGCTGTAGACCCCGGGGTCGCCCCCCGCACACATTCGTATGCATAAGCCTTCGCCTCTTGCACCTCAACCGGATTTCAGCTACTTTCTTTCGTTGTTTGCGCGAGAAAGAAAGGCATGCTCTCATGCTCGCGAAGAAGGTAGCGGGTACAGTGCACGGTCTACCACCCGAGCTGATGATCACACACGTCCGCAACAAGATACTAGATGTAGAGTGTGTGCGGTGCATTTCGTTTCGTTTTTTGATATCATAGCACGGTCGCTTCCCATATCGAAGTTCAATTTCTCGGCGAGTCGAGCCGTTGTAAGGCTTTGTGCCCCTGTGTCAGGATGTCACAATGCCAACAAAGTTTTTTTTTTTTGTAGCCGCAGCCCCAAAAAACCCTAGTTTGCAACTGGGGAATGTTTCATTCCCAGTTTTGGGCAGAGGGCACAGATAGATGTCGTGTGTCCGGCGCGGAAGCTCGTTCCTGGTCCACGAAGAAAAATGTATGCGACCAAAATGAGTTTCGACTCTTTTAACCATACAAATGTAGTCTAAGGAAGATGAAAACACAATGTTGACATCATCTAGCTTAAGCTTCTTCCTCATCATCCTACAACGACAGCAGTAGTGTAGTAGTGAGAGATCGGATCATCTCATCTCCAGCTTCTCGGCTCCGTCGTTCTAATTTATACCCCCCACAACGATCGATCGTGATATATCTCAAGCCCCAGCTACACCAACTTCCTGCTTCCTAAATAAAAGATTGTGTCGACACTTCAATGATCAACCAACATATGAACATTCCCGCACAAAGAACACCTCGAAACTAGTTAGCGTACTACGGTAAAATAGGGCCGTGATTTTGACTTTATGACACAGCGAACGCAAAGAATCACGATGCGTTACGGAGGCCGTGATGGGACTTGATTGACGGGCCGACCGCGTGCAGCAGCTGCGGGATTGGACACGACACCGTAGCGTCAGAGATACAGCTTTCAAGAAACAATAAAAATCACAGGCAGCTACAATCGAGAGCTTTGAATTAGGCAATCAAAAGCATGCAAAGCAAGGAAAGGGGCGAAAGCCACCACACCACCACAGCTACCTATCTTCCCCCCATTATCTCAACATTAGCCGCCAGCGATCGGGCTTTTCGCGTCATCCCCCCCCCCCCCCC